CTCCCTTGTAAGGTCATTATAAAATTAAACAGCAGGTATACAGTCAGTCAGCACAGCCCTAGTACATAGGTGTTCCACAAATACTAGCTATCATTCAATATGATAATTTGTAAATACTTTGTGTCTCCTTCAAAGCTAGTTCTCACACAAGCATCTCATTTTTAAAGTGTTTACATAGTATTCGTTGTAAGACTATACTATGATTTATGAAACTTTGGTAATTATTTTTTGTCATTTTTTTTTTTAAAGCAGCAAATAAGAGGATTGGTTTCTTTTTCTTTTCTTTCTTTTTTTTTTTTGAGACGGAGTTTCGCTCTTGTTACCCAGGCTGGAGTGCAATGGCGCGATCTCGGCTCACTGCAACCTCCGCCTCTTGGGTTCAGGCAATTCTCCTGCCTCAGCCTCCCGAGTAGCTGGGATTACAGGCACGTGCCACCATGCCCAGCTAATTTTTGTATTTTTAGTAGAGACGGGGTTTCACCATGTTGACCAGGATGGTCTCGATCTCTTGACCTCGTGATCCACCCACCTCGGCCTCCCAAAGTGCTGGGATTACAGGCGTGAGCCACTGTGCCCAGCCTAGGATTGGTTTCTAACATGTATCACTAGATTTCCCTCCCAAAGGACTGTATTAATTTGTTGTTCTGCCAGTTTAGACTTCATGATTTAAATATTCGGTGGAGGGCAATAGCGGATTTAAAATACTTGTTTTTGTTTTTTATTCACTAGCCATTAAGGAACACATTAATTACTATTTGTTCTTGTTGAATCTGTGCAGTTTTCTCAGAGGTAGGTAAGCCTGCCCCTCCCCCCCATGCCCCCCTGTGTGATGCAATTTATGTGTGTGGTACTAGTAATTGAGAAATTAGGGTAATTTCATATTATTCTGGTCAGGAATCCCTGGACTATCAGAATTTTCTCCAGGAATCCCTGGACTATCAGAATTTTCTCCAATCTATAGCCACTGTTTTCTAGTTTATAGGGTCCATGGGAGAAAGATTTGTTTTCCATTTATCAGTGCAAATATTTAATACAAAAGGATTGTGCATTTTATTCTTAACTAGGACTTGAGCAGCAAACTCCAGGATAGAAGACTGGAGTGAGTTCAACTGGTTCATGTGGAAATGCTGGTTTTTTGGAATCTAGTTATTTAAGCTTAAATTGTTTCAAACTAAAGCTGACCATGAGATGAAACCTTTTCATCTCCCCAGTTCTCAAACACACCAAGATCTTCCCCCCATTTTCATTCCTTTCTGTCAGTTGCCTGGGGTCATGTAACCAGATCGAGCCCATTTGCCCTGGCTGACTGCTGATCTGGCCTTGGACACCTGCCCTGGCCTCTTCTGCCCAAGCAGTAGGTTTGGCCCTGGCTATCCCTGACAGTGGTGGGTACAGGAGGGAGTGACAACCTTGTCAACCACTTCAGTCACATGGAAGAAGGAGAAAAGTGAGCTTGCATCTGTGTGCTGACCTTTTAGCAGTGATGCTGCCCGGTGACACACTCAATCAGGGTTCTCACATCTGATTCTTGAGAATCAGGAGAAAGAAGAGCACAGGTGTGATTTCTCACCTCAAAAGACAGCACATAAAAACTCGCAGCCATTCTCAGAAGCGTTGGTTTTCTGTTGGGTTGTTGCCTGTGTCAAATCAGCCAGAAAGAGGTGGAGTAACAATTGACTTGCTGAGAATTACACACAATCCATGTACCCCCCCGGCCCCGTCGCTCCTCAGCTACACCTCAACCTGCAAAGTGACTTCTTACTCTTGAGATGCTCTTTCCTCTTGCTTAATGGTTCATGACATGTCCTTCATTTTCCTCCTACCACCCTCTCTTTTTTTTTTTTTTTTCCCCTGCTGGCTTATTCTCCTGTGTTTGGCCATTAAATGATGTCCCACTAATCAGCCCTAGACCCTTCTATCATTCTTCTTTCCCTAAGCAGTCCCAGCCATGTCCATGGCGTCACTCATGGGTAAATCCAACATTTTCATCTCTACCCCAACTTCTGCTGTTGAGAACTCTATCTGCTAATACCTAATTGCCTACTGGACTTCTCTACTTGGATGTCTAAAAGTATTTTAAATTCAGCATGTCCAAGATTTATTTCATATTGTTCCTCCGAAAATGCTATGTACTATCTTAACGAAAGGCATCACCGGCTGGGCACAGTGGCCACGCCTGTAATCCCAGCGCTTGGGGAGGCCGAGGCGGGTGGATCACTTGAGGTCAGGAGTTCAAGACCAGCCTGGTTACCAGCAGGGTGAAACCCAGTCTCTACTAAAAATACAAAAATTAGCCTAGTTGTCGTGGCTGATGCTTGTAATCCCAGCTACTTGGAAAGCCCAGGCAGGAGGATCACTTGAACCCAGGAGACAGAGGTTGCAGTGAGCCAAGATCACGCTACTGCACTCCAGCCTGGGAGACAGAGCAAGACTTGGTTTCAAAAAAACAAACCAAACATACTATGTTTCAGCTCATTGCACTTACTCTCCTTGTCAGAGCTCAAATTGTCCCTTTTTTAGCCTGCGTTGCTACTTCTGGTTGGCTCTTGGGCCTTCTAACAATTCTGGACAACACAGTGTGACAAGATATTCTTGGGCCGGGCACAGTGGCTCAAGCCTGTAATCCCAGCACTTTGGGAGGCGGAGGCGGGTGGATCACAAGGTCGAGAGATCGAGACCAACCTGGTCAACATGGTGAAACGCCGTCTCTACTAAAAATGCAAAAAATTAGCTGGGCATGGTGGCGCGTGCCTATAATCCCAGCTACTCAGGAGGCTGAGACAGGAGAATTGCCTGAACCCAGGAGGCGGAGGTTGCGGTGAGCCGAGATTGCGCCATTGCACTCCAGCCTGGGTAACAAGAGCGAAACTCCGTCTCAAAAAAAAAAAAAAAAAAGATATTCTTGGCTTATCTTGCATATTTCCTGCCCAGCCACTTATTCAAGAAGAATGTGGACGTTTAAAACAAAAAGTTTCAGTGCCCTAGTCACACCCCAAACCAGCTTAACCAGAATCCCTGATGGGGATAGGACCCAGATACAGACAGGGTCTCCAGGCTGGAGTGCAGTGGTGGGATCTCAGCTCACCGTAACCTCTGCCTCCTGGGTTCAAGTGATTCTCCTGCCTCAGCCTCCTCAGTAGCTGGGACTGTAGTCGTGAGCCACAACTCTCAGCTAATTTTTGTATTTTCAGTAGAAATGGGGTTTTGCCATGTTGGCCAGGCTGGTCTCCAACTCCTGACCTCGAGTGATCCACCCGCCTTGGCCTCCCAAAGTGCTGGGATTACAGGTGTGAACCACCACACCCCGCCAGGATACAGTATTTTTTAAAAAGCACATCCAGCCTTGGATGGAAAACCACTTGAGGAGAGTATGCTGCTTTACTGGGCTCTGTAAATGCCTTATCTCTGCACAAGGCTGGGACTTTGAGAGGAGTCCTTGGCTAAAGCTCTCATTGCTACATGGCGACCTTTCTTCCCTTCCCTGCTTAAAGCTTGTGTTTCCGAATTGTGACCTGAATGCATCTGTATTGAAAGCCAGGCTTGGTCTGTCATCCTAGGACTCTGTGTCGGTCCCTTTCCTTGCCTGTAAGTTGAGTTGGGGCTCATCTTCGTGCCTCTGGGAAATAAGTTCTTTGATAGCTTGCTTAGAGCCTCTCAGTACTTTCCCTTGCCCTTAGAATGAATTCCAAAATATGTGGCCTGCAGTGTAGACTGTGCACAGCCTTCCGTGTAGACTGCTCAGGCCCCTTGGTTCCGTTTACCACCAGGCCTTTGCACATGCTGCTGGGAGGGCCTTGCCTTTCCTCATCACTTAGTTCTCCTCCACTCATCTTTCAGGCACCAGCTTGACTGTCTTCCTCGGGAGAGCCTTCTCTGACCTTGGTACACCAGATCAGCCCCCGTGTGCTGACTTTGTCTCATTGGTAATATTTCTCTACTTTTAGGACACATATCAAGGCCCAGAAGTCTCAGTTTTGCATGTTTGTGTGATCATTTGATGCATGTCTCTCTCTGGAGCCTGACTCTTTGGGGCTCACGTCCTGTCTCCACCACTTTTAGCTGTGGGACCTTGAACAAATCATTTCATCTCTGGTCCCCAGTTTCTTTTAACTGCAAAATAGGGATGATAGAATACTTCAACCTACCTTGTGAGGTGGGGATGAAGATTAAATAGGGTAATTTGTGTAAAGCACTTAGAACAGAGCCAGCTATTAATAGTAGAGAATCTTGATGATTAATAAATTAATAGTAGAGAATAATAATAGAATAATAGTAGAGAATAACAATAGTAATAAATTAATAGTAGAGAATCTTGATGATTACTGCAGTGGACCACAAGCTCCATACAGGCTGGGGTCATTTCAGTTTGTTTAGATTTGTATGCAGGGTGCTTGGTACATGGATGGCGCTCAGGAAATATTTGTTGGATGAATGAATGAAATGGAGATAATAGTAATACCATGTTTATAGAATTCCATGAGGATATAAAATAATGCAAGTATTTAAGTTCTTCGTAGCATGTCTAGCTCATATTAGGTAGTCAATAAATATTCAATGCCTGAATGAGGAAAATGGGGACAATAGTAATACCAGCTTATGAGGTTGTCGTGGGGATCTAAGGTAACCTTGTAGTACCTTGTAGAGTACCTAGCACATAGTAGGTGCTCAGAAAATATTTGTTAAGTGAGTGAAGTGGGAGTGATGGTAACAGCAGCTCCTAGGGTTGCTGCGGGGATAGAAGATAAGGCAGGTTGACAGCTTGTTGTATTGTGATTGTGCCTGGTGGACACTCTGTGGAGTGAAACGAGAAGAGCTGCTATGAGTTTCTTTCTCCTGGGGCTTATGAGAGAATCCTTTTGGGGTGCAGAATGGTATGGAGTGGACACTGGTCCTCTCGAAGGAAGAATGGGCAGCTGACTACTTGCCAAACTCTGGCCTGGATGAAAAGTTGAATCATTCCTTTCCCTCTTCCTCCCTAACCTGTTCTTTCTTTCCACTAGAATCCTTGCCCAGAGTCCAGTACCTCCTTCCTGTCCAGGATCACCTTCTGGTGGATCACAGGGTAAGGCTGGGCCCCCAAGACCTCAGGGAGGTGGTGGGGAAATGAATGAAAGAATGAGCATGCTGAGCTCCTCACTCGACTTCTCTCTCCTTCACTGTTCTGCAGAGTTGTCTTGAATCTGCCTGTGCTGGCCATGTAGTCTCAGAGACACCAACTCTGTCCTCCAAGTCCATCACCTTGAATGTGATAAACACATGAGCCATGAGCAGCTTAAATAACTGCAGAAGGCTTGGCCTGGGACAGCCATACTGGACTGCTCTTGCTTTAGCTTCAGATTTGGGTTTTTATTTTTTATTTCTTGCCTAGACATCATGTTCAATCTAACAGATTTGGGTTTTTTAAATATTAGGTATAGTTATTATTGACTTCGTTCCCCTCCTGTCCCCAACTCCTTAGAAAAATAATACTGTCTCGGGGCTGGGCACAATGGCTCATGCCTGTAATCCCAGCACTTTGAGAGGCCGAGGTGGGTGGATCACAAGGTCAAGAGATCGAGACCATCCTGGTCAACATGGTGAAACCCCATCTCTACTAAAAATACAAAAAATTAGCTGGGCATGGTGGCACGTGCCTGTAATCCCAGCTACTTAGGAGGCTGAGGGCAGGAGAATTGCCTGAACCCAGGAGGCAGAGGTTACGGTGAGCCGAGATTGCGCCATTGCACTCCAGCCTGGGTAAAAAGAGCAAAACTCCGTCTCAAAAAAAAAAAAAAAGAAAAGAAAAATAATACTGTCTCACCATAGGAAATGTGGGTTAAAAAAACATGTGCAGATTAGTAGTAAGGAAACACCCAGAGGCAACCACTGTCACCATTTTAGTATGCCTCCTTCTGGTCTTTTCTTTTTGAGATGGAGTCTTACTCTCTCTCCCAGGCTGGAGTGTAGTGGCACGATCTCAGCGCACTACAACCGGTGCCTCCTGGGTTCAAGCTATTCTCCTGCTTCAGTCTTCCAGGTAGCTAGGATTACAGGCGTGTGCCATTATACCTGGCTAATTTTTGTATTTTTAGTAGAGACAGGGTTTTGCCATGTTGGCTAGGCTGGTCTTGAACTCCTGACCTCAGGTGATCCACCCACATCAGTCTCCCAAAGTGCTGGGATTACAGGTGTGAGCCACCATGCCCAGCCACCTAGTGGTTTTCTTTTTGTACATCTTTATCTGCCCATTGTCAACATCTAATTAGGAATTATTTGAAGAATCTTGCACCCTAATATGCATCATCTTTTTGTTTTTTTGGAGACAGGTTTTCGCTCTGTCCAATGGAATAGAAGAGAGGCCTCAGAAGTTAACACCACACATCTACAACCATCTGATCTTTCACAAACCTGACAAAAGCAATGGGGAAAGGATTCTCTATTTAATAAATGGTGTTGGGAAAACTGGCTAGCCATCTGCAGAAAGCTGAAACTGCATTCCTTCCTTACACCTTATACACAGACTAACTCCAGATGGATTAAATATTTAAACATAAGACCTAACACCATAAAAACCCTAGAAGAAAATCTAGGCAATACCATTCAGGACATAGGCATAGGCAAGAACTTCATGACTAAAACATCAAAAGCAATGGCAACAAAAGCCAAAATAGACAAATGGGCTCTAGTTAAACTAAAGAGCTTCTGCACAGCAAAAGAAACAATCGTTAGAGTGAACTGGCAACCAACAGAATGGGAAAAAATTTTTGCAATCTACCCATCTGACAAAGGGCTAATATCCAGAATCTAGAAAAAAAATTAAATTTACAAGAAAATACAGTCCCATCAAAAAGTAGGCAAAGGATATGAACAGACGCTTCTCAAAGGCAGACATTTATGCAGCCAACAAACATGAAAAAAAGCTTATCACTGATCATCAGAGAAATGCAAATCAAAATCACATTGAGATGTCATGTCAGTTAGAATGACGATCATTAAATCAGGAGACGGCAGATGCTGGAGAGGATGTGGACGAATAGGAACGCATGTACACTGTTGGCAGGATTGTGAGTTAGTCCAGCCACTGTGGAAGACAGGGTGGCAGTTCTCAAGGATAGAGACCTAGAAATCCCATTTGACCCAGCTATCCCATCAGTGGGTATATACTCAAAGGATTATAAATCATTCTATTATAAAGACACATGCACATGTATGTTCATTGTGGCCCTGTTTACAATGGCAAAGACTTGGAACCAACCCAAATGCCCATCAATTACAGACTGCACAAAGAAAATGTGGCACATACACACCATGGAATACTACGCAGCCATAAAAAAGGATGAGTTTATGTCCTTTGCAGGGACATGGATGAAACTAGAAACCGTCATTCTCAGCAAACTGACACAAGAACAGAAAACCAGACACTGCCTGTTCTCACTCCTAAGTGGGTGTTGAACAATAACACAGGACACAGGGAGGGGAACATCACACACTGGGGCCTGTCAGGAGGAGGGTGGGTAAGGGAGGGATGGCACAGGGGGTTGAGGGATTGGGGAGGGCAACAGGAGAAATACCTAATGTGGATGACAGGGATGGATGCAGCAAACCACCATAGAATATGCCTGCACATTCTGTGTATGTGCCCCAGAACTTAGTATAATAAAAATAAATCAGATGCGGTCTTGTTATGCTGCCCAGGTGGTTCTCAAACTCCTGGGCTCAAGCAACCTCCAACTCCCAAGTAGCTGGGATATGGGTGTCTGTCACCACACCCAGCTATTTTTTTCTACAATTTTTAATATTAGTCTCACTACAGAACCAATAATGTAAGTAGAGGAACAATCTCTCTTACCAAGTATATAATACCCAAGTAATAAGTGTCCAAGAAAAACAGCTATATGCTATTTGTTGTACAGATTTTCAACTAAAAGGTGCCAGGGAGATTCCATGATTACCCCAAGTAATTTGTTCCACTGAAGGTTTATACTGGCAAAAATATAGATGTCACACTAGTATGACTTAAAAGCCGAAGTATTAATATTTGTCCAGTTATGGAGAAAGCATTTCCTAATGTGATTTTTCTGTTGCTGTGTATCTTCCAGTTCATTTGTGTTCAGCCCCGACCCTGTCACAGTACTGATCAATCTTTTGTTACTAACGTTAAATAAATTTTTTTGATCAACTAGCCAGATGTCTATCGTTTTCTCTGACCAACTTCCCATAACCATCATAAAACAATAAACCACTGCTAAATTTCAAAAGTAAATACTATGCAAAAGTTGAGAGAAAATTTTACAAGATACCACTTTACCTTGGTAGTAACAGTCAAGTCTTCATCATCTGGTTTAGGGCACGAATCCACACACACGTTCATGGAAAATGCTGTAGAGCAAAAATATACAATAAAAATGAGCAAGTTGATTTTTTTGTTTGTTTTTTACAAATTTTTTAACTGCCAGTTCATATTCAGTTTCCCCCTCCAAGAAACAAAAACACAATCTCGGAAAAGGTCAGCCATCTGTATATTAAATAACATTTCTTGATACAATTAAAATATGGCCTCTGTTCTAAAAATAGATTTTGGTTACCTATTTCTGCCTCCAGCTGTCTAAATCTATAAAATACTCAAGGAAAACTGACCTTGAGCTCCATAACAAAAAGTGACAGCCAATATATTGGCAGTGCTTGACAATAATTTACCCTCCCAAATTATCTGTCCTGAAGCAGGACATGAAATTCAATGAATAGACTACATTAACTTTTGTCACCTAAACTGGAAGGAAACTTATGACCTAAAACAAGGTAGAGAAATCCACTGTCTGTTGTCTATTATCTGTCTCTGGTTAAAAGACTAATCTGTGTCCCTTCAAAATGGCAGTCTTGATGCCTCAGCATGAAAACCACTTAATAAGTTCCCAATGCTTTCCTTTGTCCTCAAAGGGTACAGAGAATCCCCTGCTATATTTGTAATCTCAACTATTTGGGAGACTGAGGCAGGAGGATCACTTGAGAAACCCAGAAGTTTGAGACCAGTTTGGAAAATACAGCAAGACTCTTTTCGTAAAAAAAAATTATGCACACTTGTGTACATGCTTTAGACCATTTTTCTTTAAACTATAGGACTGATGCTTTGTTACAGAGCATTCCTTTGGGAGTGCACCTGAGACCTTATTAAAATTCATGTGAGTTATACCTACTGGTATGTGATTAGTGCCGTAAGAACTCTTACTTCCCTTACTTTTTATTAAATGCAAAGAATAAATTTATCAAAATTTGATTATCTGCAAGTGAACTGCAGTATACAAGTCATCTTAGACAAACCATATGAGACTAAGAATGGTACTGTTACCACAGCAGGTGTGATGAGTGACCAGTGTCCAAGAGCATGATTCTGAACCAAAATATGAAGGGCAGTTAAAACAGACTGTACAGTAGTTCCCTTATCCATGACATGTGTTGAAAAGACACACTTGCCACTTTTTTCTCTGCTCTCACACCACGGAAACAACAAAGGCGGCTTTGGTGATGAAACGTGGGGAGGGTTTTCCCCACCAACAAGCAGGCAAGCATTTCTGCAGATGACACAAGCTGGGTGTCCTCATACTCCATCTGCAGATCGCATCCGATTCCACAGGTAAAGGGCTCAGTCCCATGAAACTCCCTACATCAGTCCTAAGTCTGAAACTCCAGAACTTCTGACCAGTTGGCTTCAACGTGGGCTTCAATTGAGGTTCCCAGGACTCCCTCTTTGGGTTAAATTGAATTGCTGGAATGGCTCAAAGTACTTGGGGAACACATTTACCAGTTTGCTGTGAATGATATTACAAAAGGTACAGATGAAGAGACGCACTGTGCAAAGTGTGGGGGAAGTGGGACGAAGATTACATGCCCTCCCAGGACACCCCAGCCTCCAGGAACCTCTATGTATTCAGTGAACTGGAAGCTCTCAGCCCAGTCCCTCTGGGTCTTTATGAAAGCCTTATTACATATGCACCACTGATTAAGTAAATCACTGGCCGTTGGTGACTGAAAACCTTCAGGCTTTCTCTTCGCCCTAGAATTTGCAGAGTGAGACAGAAGATCTCACCCCTCTAATCAATGTCTTCACGATAATGACCAGTTGCCATCCTGAATCTATGTAGGGGCTTCCAGCCATCAATCATTAGCATACAAAAAGACATCAGTTTGGAATCTCTAACGATTTTAAGGATTGTACAACCCAAGAACTGAGTCAACGTTCAAACACAGATTTTACATTCACAGTTTTTATGTCTGTGGTTGCAGCTAATAGTCAACTGTATTCCCAAAATATCACATGGAAAGCTTCAGAAATAAACTAAGTTTTAGTGTGCCATTCTGAGAATGAAACCTTGAGCCCCCTCCATCCAGACCGGGATGTGAATTATCCCTTTGTTCGGTACATCCACACTGCATATGGTGTGCACCCATTAGTCACCAACACAGTCTCCTGTTGCCAGCCATCGACATCACGAAGGCCCCAAGACCTGAGGTCACTCACAGCTCATCATCTTTTTTCTGACTTAGATTCAGGGGGTGCCTAACACTGCGTTACAATGCCTGCCTCATTCACCTCACTTCTCATTACACAGGCATTGTATCCCTTCACATCATCACAGGAAAAAGGATGAGAACCATAACAATATATTTTATTATGAGTTACTGTTAATTTCTTACTGTGCCTAACTTATAAATTACATACTATCATAGATGTATATGTGTAGAAAAAACGGCATGTGATTCAGTACTATTTGTGGTTTCAGGCATTTACTGGGAGTCTTGAAATGTATCTCCTACATTTCAGGATGAAGGACTGCACTTATTTGGTTGAACACAACACAGCCTCCCTAGCTCTGCAGTTAAAAACTGTTCAGGTTAGGATAAAACAACTTATCATCAGAAGCCAGCAAAACAGAGGAATCAGACTAGAAACAAGGATCCTTGGAAAAACTTTCCAGCTGCCAGTGGAGAAGAGCTCAAGAGAGATCAGTCTGTTACTCTGGCTAACGCTCTTCTGGGGAAGGTGCTGGCTACATATGCTCAGCTCATCTTATAACAAGGCCCAAATTCACCTGCTATTTTACCTCCCACAGAAAGAACTGCTGGAAAGATCACTCCTTTAAGAGCTTATCCACTCCGAATCACAGCTCATTCAGCTAGAAGCTTAAGAAACACTGCGGAGGTGTGGCAGGCTGCCAGGCAGTACTATCTGATGTGAAAAATACATCAAAAGAAAACTATCAATGCCCTCCTGCTACCAGAATGTGCCAATGCTTTCCCCTCTCCCTAGTAAGAGAAAAACATTCTTTTTTATCTCATATAAAGCAAAGTTGTGTGATTTCCTTGCCATTCCTCATGACAGAGAATCTAGTCATAGGTGAGTCATG